TAAAATTGAAAAAAAAAAACAGAAACAAGAGAATCTAACTACTTCAAATGAATAACTAATTCTTCAAACAAAGAACTAGTCCAAGTAATGTGGAGAAAAAGGAACCCTCTTACACTGTTGATGGGAATACAAACTGGGGCAGCCACTGTAGAAAACAGTATGGAGGCTCCTCAGAAAGTTAAAAATAGAACTACCCGACTATCCAGTAATCGCACCACTGGATATTTAACCCCAAAATACAAAAACACTAGTTCAAAGAGATACATGCACCTCTGTTTATGGCAGCACTATTTACAATAGCCAAATTATGGAAGCAGCCCAAGTGTCCATCAATTGATGAATTGGGTAAAGAAGAGGTGGTATATATACACACACATTGGAATATTATTCAGCCATAAAAAAGAATGAAATCTTGCCATTTGCAACAACATGGATGGAACTAGGTAGGGAGTATAATGCTAATAAGCAATAGAAGTCAGAGAAAGTTAAATACTATATGATTTCATTCATATATGGAATTTAATAAATAAAACAAACAAGCAAAGAAGAAAAAAGAGAGACAAACCAAGAAGCAGATTTAAAAAAAATTTTTTTTAATATTTTTTAAAATTTTATTTGTCAGAGAGAGAGAGCGCGAGCAAGCACAAGCAGGGGGAGCAGCAGGCAGAGGGAGAAGCAGGATCCCCACTGAGCAGGGAGCCCGATGTGGGGCTCGATCCCAGAACCCTGGGATCATGACCTGAGCTGAAGGCAGACTGACTGAGCCACCCAAGTGTCCCCAGGAAACAGATTTTTAACTATAGAAAACTGATGGTTACCAGAGGGGAGCTTTGTGGAGGGGGGGATGGGTGAAATAGGTGATGGGGATTAAAGTGTACAATTATCATGATGAATACTGAGTAATGTTTAGAATTGTTGAATCACTATATTGTACACCTGAAATTAATATAGCACTGTTAACTATACCTGAATTAAAATAGAAAAAATTAACAAAAGAGAACTAATCCAAGTAGTTTTGAACATAGTAATTTGACTATATACTGTCAAGTTAAAGACAAAAAAGATTTGCAAACAAAACTTGAATGCTTTGCAATCTTGTTTTTAATAGTGCTATGAGTGCAGGAATTCTTAAACTATTTTGTGTTCATGGTAAGATTAAGCAAATGTGAAAATATACTGCTGCTATGAGGAGCCAAAGATGTAGTATCTCTGAGAAGGGGTGCAAATATGGAAAGGGTGAAAGCAAGGCAAAACCCTTTATCACTATGAACTCATGAATTTTAAAAAGGCCGGCTAATAGAAGGAATGATGGAGTTAGAAAATCACCATTGTATAACCAACTTAGTAGGGTAGACTACCTTCCCACTGTAGGTGGGCATCATTTAATTCACTGAGGGGCTGAATAGAACAAAAGTGGAGGAAAGGAGGATTGGTTCCCTGCCTGCCTGTTTATTTTTTTAAATTTATTTTTATTTTAAAATTTCTTTTATTTTTTAGAGAGAGCAAGAGAGCGAGCATGGAGGGGAGGGGCCGGGGGAGAGGGAGAGAGAGAATCTCAAACAGGCTCCACGGCCAGCATGGGGCTTGATCCCATGACCCTATGACCTGAGCTGAAATGAAGAGTCAGACCCTAAACCCACTGAGCCACCCAAGCGACTCATCCTGCTTGCCTGTTTGAATTGGGACATCGCTCTTCTGCTCTTGAACTTGGATTTACACCATCAGCTCCCCAGTTGTCAGGCCTTTGGACTTGAATTTGAATTACACCACTGGCTTTCTTGAGTCTCAAGCTTGTGGATGGTAGATAGTGGGACTTAGCCTCTCTAATTGCATGAGCCAATTATTCATAATCAATCTATCTCTATATATGCAACTGTATACATATAACTCATTATCAATACATTTTAATTATTTTTTAAAAAGATTTATTTATTTTAGAGAGAGGGAGCGTGTGTGTGCATGCAAGTGCGGGGAGGGGCAGAGGGAGAAAATCTCCAGTAGTCTTCCTGCTGAGCATGGAGCCCAATGGGCTTTATCCCAGAACCCTGAGATCATGACCTGAGCTGAAATCAAGAGTTGGATGCTTAACCAACTGAGCTACCCAGGTGCCCCAATACATTTTAATTATTAATAACAATATATCAATGCCATTTTATTATCATTAAATGTTATATTTTTTTAATACTATATTATTATTATATTATTACATATATATGTATCTGCAATTGGTTCTGTTTCTCTGGACAACCCTAACCTATACAATTGCCAAAACGAAATATAAAATGCTATGATCGGGGCGCCTGGGTGGCTTAGTCGTTAAGTGTCTGCCTTCGGCTCAGATCATGATCCCGGGGTCCTGGGATCGAGCCCTGCATCGGGCTCCCTGCTCGGGCGAGAAGCCTGCTTCTCTCTCTCCCACTCCCCCTGCTTGTGTTCCTGCTCTCGCTATCTCTCTGTCAAATAAATAAATAAAATCTTTAATAAAAAAATGCTATGATCATATAAACTGATGTACAAATGTGAAATGTTCAATTTAATTTCAGATTTTCAAAAACCAAGTCTTTAGAACGGCTTTACAAGATAATAAAAGAAATCTAAACAAATGGAACAAATGAAGAACCCATTACTAAAGCTAGTAAAATGGCTTTATTGACTAGGATTGAGTAAGTTTACAATGAGTGGAAAAAAACAATCAGCAAGCTATAATTTTTATCTATTGTAAAATATCTTGGCTTGTCCTTAAGTTCACTAATTCTAGTATCAAGTCATGGAGTGATATACATAAATAATAGGGATCTTTAGAAATAAACATTGAGAGAAATTAAGTAAATATAGGCAAATTCCTAAGTGAACCATAACAAAGGTTCTTGTTCCCTTGCTACTTTAAAGCTCACTGCTACGAGAGCTGTTGTTAAAAATCTGGAGCTGTAAGCAAATCGATGGGTTCAGAAGAATAAGGAAGGGAAGAAATTATAAAAAGTTAGAATAGCTTAAGTGGAGCTGATTTGGGGGAAAGCAAGTGTAAGTTTGGCTTGATCACTGTTGTCCAAAAACATCTCCTCCTTCACTGCCTACTTTTATTCCTATGTTTTTTATACTTCATATAATTATATCAGAAATTCATTTGGTTTAGCAGGTATCTACTTTCATTTTTTTAAATTTAAATTCAATTAATTAACATACGGTATATTATTAGTTTCAGAGATAAGAGTTCAGTGATTCATCAGTCTTATATAACACCCAGTCTTATATAACACCTGGGTGTTATCTGCTTTCAACTATAAGATTATACATGTTTCAAAAATTGTTACTTGCCACTTGCTCTCACTGTATGTCCTTTTGTACAATTTATTTTTCTGTGTGTATATATTGACAATTTTAAAATACATTAAATAAGTTAAACAAAAAGAGAATGCTTTCCCTTTTTTGGGAAAGATTTTATTTATTCATTTTAGAGAGAGAGAGAGCATGAATGGGAGGAGAAGCAGAGGAGGTGGGAGAGAGAATCTGAAGCAGACTCCATGCTGAACGGAGCCCGATGCAGGGCTCAGTCTCACAACCCCGAGATCATGACCTAAGCTGTAACCAGGAGTTGGATGCTTAACCAACTGAGCCACCCAGGAACCCCAAGAATGCTTTCCTCTTAATATCTAGTTGAGACTGGTTTCACTGAGGAAATGGGAACGTTGCTTAGGGGAAGGAAGGAGTAGTAATTCACAACAAAAATATTTGTGGGACAGGGCACATGAAAATATTTGTTGCTGGGGGAGCATGGCTAGGAAAAGCATCTAGTAAAAGCAGATAAAGGGGAATGATGATAGATGTAGGAGATGCCAAACAAGGAAATTTCTCTGTGAAACTCTTCCCTTTGTCTCTGTTGTACTCTAAATGGCATTCAATTTTTGTATATTTTAATCTAGACCAGTACTGATTAAGACTATAGTTCAGCTACATTATGAAAAAAATAGACTTCTGGGGTTATAACAACAAGTTACAACACTATTCGTATGGAAAATGCATTCTGAATTCCACTCAAATGATTTAAAAAAACATCTTGAAACATAACTTATAACCTATTTCTGAGTTTGGACAGGTATATTAACCTACAACATAAGACCATAAACTCCCAATGGGTAGAAACTTCATTTTCTACATCTTTACCCACCCATCATATTGTGTGGCACACAGACGATATAGCTGAAAGGTATGAACTGCTTTGAAAATTTAACCCCCTGTTCTGGTTAATTCAATTTTCCAGCCTCGGTGGATAGATACAACTATTCTTTCCAGGATATATATGGGAAGTAGATTTTTGTAGATAATATCTTCATTCAAGGCAGCATTGGCTGGCCAATAGGAAAATAGTTGGGTGCTGGCATATAAAAGTCTCCTGGGTTTCTCTGGATCTCTTACTCTGCTGGCTTCACTGTGTTCCTACCTCTTGAACCAGGTATTTGTTAGGCATTATGTTCCCAGATAACAGATTATTTTTCCATCCATATAAAATCTGAAAAGGGCATTTTCCTCAGTTTTATCTTAAGCTGGTCTCTTATTCATGGGCTGGGAAACTGCACTCAATGAGTATTAAAATTAAGATATCACAGGGGCGTTTGAGTGGCTCAGTCAGTTGAGTGTCCGACTCTTGATTTTCTCTCAGGTCATGATCTCAGGGTCCTGAGATCAAGCCCTGCAAGGGACTCTGCACTCAGTGGGGGGTTTGCTTGAGATTCTCTCTTTCCCTCTCCCTCTTTGCACTCTCTCTTTCTCTCAAATAAAGAAATATTAAAAAAATTAAGATATTACATATCATGATCACATGAACACTGCAAAACACATCACAAAATATTTTACTTCTTTAAAAAAGAATACTTCAACTCAGGTATAAACTATTTTTTAAAATTTTTGCAAATAGATTATTTCTCTTAAATTATTACTTTAAGAAATATGATTCTTTTCTTTTAAGACACATGTGTTTATTATTTCAAAAACAACAAACTTACTCATCATTGTCTTTTGTTGTAGATTCCTTCCTTTTGGTTAAACTGAGGTAACTCAATTTTTTCCTTTTTCCTATATACAAGCAGTAAAAAGAAGAACTTAAAGTTAAGGGGGAAATTGTCAAATTTTAAATAGAATTTAGATCACCAAAGTTTAAATAGAAAATAAAAAGGTAGACTAATGAAAGGGAAGTAGGAAAAGAAAAAGTATCCTAGAATTTGCTATGGAAAAAAAAATCACTATTACGGATAACTTTTCAATAGCTATTTTTTTTTTATTTTCCAATATCCCAGTTTTTTATTCATGACTTTATATAGAAAAAAAACTTTACTAGATAAAGGATACTTTCAACAAATATTTTAATAAACAATATTATCTTAAAGTTTCCAGTTTGTATTATTTCACCCCCATTTTTTGCCTCAAAGTTAACAAGAGGTTGGTGATATTTATATCTACAAAATAGTGAGTTTCTAGTGATGTCACAGTAAAATAAATTTGATAAATGTGCCTGACTTTAAATACATATTGAAAAAATGCATAATGATTTAGCAAATTCTTGGAAAGATTCTGTGTGTGGGGTTGAAAGGTAAATTTGATTTTATAGCTCTAGTAGAATATGATGTTTGCATTTATTAGTGGTCAAATAATTGTTTTATGAGCTCTCCATTTAGTTGTTGGTTCTACTGTACTTCATAGTACAGTACTTTAAACATATTTGATGTATAATAAGTATTTGAGGACATAATAAATTCTTAATGTCTTACATACACTGGCCTTCAATAAATGTTTATTGAATGAATAAGCAAGCAAATGAATGAATAATCCAAACTTTTTACTACAAATGAAAAAAAGTCCAGAGAAATCATTTTTTTAAATGTAAAATTGGTGACAACTTCCTTATACTATGTATTCTTATGTTGTACCATTTGTTCAACAACTGGCACAGGAACTATTATTTAACTCAATGTCGTTATTCTTCACAAAGGAAAAACAGGTGAAATAAATTTTATTATTTAATTTAACCCAACATACTCAAAATACTCTAATTTTAACATATGATAATATAAAATTATTAGTAGGATCATTCATATTCTCTTTCTCACACTGTCTTTGATATCTGGTGTATATTTTACACTTATAGCACATCCCAGTTCAGATGAGCCACAATCCAAATGCTCTGTATCTACATGTATTGGAAAGTATAGCTCTATGTAATACTGCAGGAGGATCTGATACTTCTAGATGAAACCGAGTACACAAATAACACGAAGGCAATTTCTTTAAATTTTCAAATATAATTTATTAACATATTAATGTACTATCTGGAACAGACTTTCCAATGCTGGTTTATACTTTTTTCTTCACTTAATTTTTATTCCATTACTCTTATTTGCTCCTATTACTAGGGGAAAAGTTTATTTAAAGTATATTTTCTATTCTCTGACATTTATAATTTCACTGAGTAAGTTGGTTCAGAAACTAACAATAATTTCCCTCATTGTTACTTTGGATTTTGTGGCTTCTCTCAAAAAAAAAAAAGTATCATAACTAAATTATCTCAAAATAGTCTTTAATTCTAAAAAGAGAAAAACTTGTGATTTAGAGATCTTGCTAAAGTACTAGTTATCTCTTTTTTTTAAAATAATTTTTTATTGTTATGTTAATCATCATACATTACATCATTAGTTTTTGATGTAGTGTTCCATGATTCATTGTTTGTGCATAACACCCAGTGCTCCACGCAGAATGTGCCCTCTTTAATACCCATCACCAGGCTAACCCATCCCCCCACCCCCCTCCCCTCTAGAACCCTCATTTTGTTTTTCAGAGTCCATTGTCTCTAATGGTTCGTCTCCCCCTCCGACTTACTCCCCTTCATTCTTCCCCTCCTGCTATCTTCTTCTTTTTTTTTTCCTTAACACATATTGCATTGTTTGTTTCAGAAAGTACTAGTTATCTTTTTATTAACTTTTCATTATTTGACTTGACTCTATCCTTAAATTCCAAATAGTAAGAGTTTATTTAACAAAGGATTAAAGGGAAAAACAGTAACCATTTTTTTAAAAAAAGATTTTATTTTTATTTATTTGACAGAGAGTGAGAGAGCACAAGTAGGGGGAGCAGCAGAGGGAGAGGGAGAAGCAGGCCCCCCGCTGAGCAGGGAACCTGATGCAGGGCTCGATCCCAGGACCCTGAGATAATGACCTGAGCCGAAGGCTGTTGTTTAGCCGACTGAGCCACCCAGGCGCCCCAACAGTAACAATATTTTATTTATGATTTTAGAGAACCCTAAGGAAAAAGTCTATTAAAATCCATCTCTCTTAAAAAAATCAAGCTGGATATGAAATCCCATGATACACATTAAACCTTATATTCAGAAAATCTTTGCCTAAAGGTTAATACTAATTTCCTGAATTTTGTGCTATGCTGTCTGCATTCAATAAAGCTCCACAATTAAATATTAAAATTACTTTGTTCCTTTAACTTATAATTAATTTTCACATTTTAGCACCATCAGTCAATAAAGTTAGGTGAGAAATAGTAAAAGAATGCTTTATTTGAATTTTCACCAGGTGTTCAATGCCTGCTGAAACATTTTTATTATTGTAAGGGGATCAGATATCTTATTCTATAAAATGTAATCTATAGCATTAATCTCAATCTCCTCATAGAAGGACTTACATTTCTAATATACTTTCCAATTGTTCAATCGGAGGAGTTTTAATATCTCTAAGAATAACACTTGGTGCCTGACTCTCCCTCTGCCTGCCACTCCCCCTGCTTGTGCTCTCTGTCAAATAAATAAATAAAATCTTAAAAAAAAAATTGCTTCCTTGATTTCATTTCATTCTATTAGCAATTAACATACAGTAAACAGCTACAGATTCTATATGGACTTTTTCTTGCTAGGTTATATATAACAAACAGTTGTGTATGTGACTCCCTTTAAAGGCAGTTTCACAAAACACTGGTGAAAAATGTACCATCACTGAATCTGGGCTACATTCAAAATTGTTTTTTGGACTTTCTGGTAAGGCTCAGGGAGCCCCTTCTCTGACTAATGAAGATAACTTTCAACAGATCATGATGTTTAGAAGTACAATCAATGATGTTAATGATAACGGCTAACACTTAAAGAGTATTTTTAGGGCCATGCACTGTTTTAAATGTTACATATATAAACTAATCTGCAAAACTCTGAATTGGTCACTCTTATTCCCATTTTACAGATGAGGAAACAGAGGCACAGAATGGCCACATAACTTATCCAAGGCCCTAAAGCTAGTAAGTGCCAGAGTCAGGATCCAAGTCTGACACCCAACCTTCTGTGCCACTCAGGTACCCCAAAATCATGTTATTCTTTTAATTAACCAAATTATTATTATTAAACAAGAGTGGAGAGTGAAGAACCTCTTTAGAGGATCAATTCATGAAAAATAACAATGTTAATGGTTCCTTTTTTAAAATTCAAAATACCTTTATTGAGTCCCATGGAAGAAATTTAATATTCTTAAAATATTACCTATATTATTGAAGAGAAGGGTATCAATGAGAAAATTGGAATTGCTTTTTAGCTACTAAAACATTAATATTTGAGAAGCAGAAAGGTAAGTTTTAAAATCTTTCATCCAATTTAGATTGTGGACCACATTAAGAAGCATTTGGCTCATATATCTCAAACTGCTCATCATATATTTAAGCTGATAGTAATTTATCAGCTCCTTTGAAATACATATTGTCTGTTCCTTCTCCCACTTAAAAAGAAATCAGTCTTGACAGAGGTCTACCATTTGATTAGTCTTTTCAAAGAACCTGCTTTTTTTTTTTTAATCATTGCCTTGTTTTCTATTTAATACTTTATTTCTATTTAATACTTTATACCTTTTACTATTTCCTTTCTTGTATTTTTTGGGGTTTGTTCTATTCTTTTTCCATTCATCTGAGTTGAATGCTTGGCTTATTAGTTTTCAATCATTCTTCCTTTCTAAATATATGCATTTAAAAGTATAAAATTTCCACTAAGAACTGTTTTAGTATAAAGCAGTATTTAGGTGTAAAGTTTTCCTGTAAGTTTTTTGTTATTATCATTCAATTCTAAATATTTTATACTTTCCATTATGATTTTTCTGAACAATGAATTATTTAGAAGGTTCTAGGTTTCCAAATAGGTGGGCTAAAATTTTTAGAGGGCTGCCTTTTTATTATTGATTCCTAACTGCACAAAATTTTGGTTAGCGACTGTGACAGCAATTTTAGTATGTTGAGAGTTCTTTATGACTCCAAACTGGTTATATTTTTTGTAAAAGTTCTAGGTCATGCTTTATCATGTGTTGGGTATTATACTTGTTTGACCACAGCTCATTAGATCACACTTGCTAGCTATGTTCAAACTGTTTATATCCTTCCTAAGTTTTTATTTATTTCATCAGTTTCTGAAAGAGGTACTTTATATTTTACTATAATTAGGGATTTGTGAGTCTCTCCTTGTAATCCTGTCTTATTTCATTATGTTTTGTTTTTGTTTTAAATGCACATAGTTTCAGAAATCTTTTTCCAGTAGTGACTCCTTCTCTATGTATAGATTCCTTTATCTTCAATAAGGTTTTTTGCTTTAAAGTCCATTTTGGTCTATATTAATATTCTTATAACTATTAATTTTTTTAAAGTTAATATTTGCTTTGTTTTTTATTAATATTAATGATATTAATAAAAACAGCTAAAATACATATTGAAAACTTACTACATGCCAGACAATGCTCTGAGTGCTTTTTGTATATTACTTTAATTCTCACAATAATCCTGAGGTAGATATTATTTTCCCCATTTTTACATGCAAATAAAAAAGACACAATTTTAAAGTCAGTTAACAGATATTCTTCTGCTCCCTAAAAATTATAAGAATCTTAAAACACTTTAGCTTCTTCCTGCTCCCTCATCAGTATTCCATGCTATTACAGTCTATTATTTGTTTTTAACCCTCTCAAATTGTCTTTTGCTTTGTAGTGAGCAGAATTTGTAGTCGCATTTTTGTAATTAGATTTGTATTAAATTTACCAACATGTTTGCTAATTTATTTTTCACCATTGTTCTTTGCATTCCATTCCTTTACCTGAGGCTCAGTTTACTTCTCCAAGTACATTTTTTAGTAGCCCCTTCAGGGAGTCTCTGTGAATGGTAAATTCTCTCAGACTTTGTCTGAAAAAAATCTTTATTTCATCTTCATTTTCTGAATAAAAAAATTCAGCTGTGATTTTTATTTGGTATTATTCCACTTCCTGCTGGAGTCTGTTGATAGTCTACTATCAGTCTGTTATTCCCTTGTGGGCTATATGTCTTTTTCTCTCGTGGCCTTTAAAATTTTCTCTTTGTCTTTGACAGTTTGCAGTTCTACCATGATATGACTAGGTGTGGATTTGTTTTCATTCACCCTGCTCAGAATAAGCATGCTATTCCAACCTGGAAATTCTCATCTTTCCTTAACTGTGAAATTGAAATTATGAAAAATTGATAGTCCTTTTATCTTAGAATACTGCCTCAGCCCATTCTCCTTATTTCCTCCTTATGGAACTCCTATTTGATGTATGTTGGAGCTTCTTATTCTATTCATCATTCCTCTTTACCATTTTATCATATTCTCCATTTCTTTATCTCTGTGTTATTACATTGCTGCAGTCTGGGTGATTTCTACAGATCTATTGTCTAATTCACAAATACTCTCTTTGACTATGCAAATTTGTTGTTTATCCTTCTACTCTAATTATTAAATAATAAGTATGATGCATCCTTCCTCTTTACTGAAAAGCATAATAGTTTGGAGAAATTTGCTAAGGGGTAGGGGAGGGCAGCAATATAATGATAACACCCACAAAAACGTATATAACAATGAGAAATATATATGATGATAAGTAAATAAATATATATCTCTCAAAAGTACAAACTGGAATCATTCACCCTGTTTTTGGCCCACATGTAGAGTCTAAGTAGAGGGAAGACTGAGAAACAGATTTTTCTTTCTAAGTACAAATGTATTTAAATTTAATAATAAATCATCTGTTCACATAGTACACAGTTCAAATGTATATAGAAAGTACATATAAATACCTAGAGGAAGAGTATAACAGAAGGAATACAGGCTGAGAGACCTGAAAGTGCAATGACCTTGTGGCAGGAAGGGGTTTAACATGATTGATGAGTAGCAAGAAAGTAAGAGTGGTTATAGTGTAAATGTGGGAAGGGTAGTAGAAAAGGAGATAGACGAGGTGGTCAGGTATTTGATGATGTATGGCCTTAAAAGTCATAAAGTTTTGAATTATATCCTAAGTGTGATGGGAAGTAAATTGCACTTAAAATGCCCTTAAAAATTCTATTTAAATAAAAGTGCTTATTTAAGTTGCATCTTATGTTTTGTACAACATTTAAAAACTGAGAATTGTTAATAGAAGTTATGAGATCATTTGGAACTTAAATCACTTCATAAGAGTCAGGCTTTCTTATTTCTAAAACATGTATAAGATGACATATTAGGACAAGCAATGTAATGATTAAAAATGACATAATGGGATATAAGATCCTAGAGAATTCTATGTTGAGACTTTTATATGTGAGATACATATATCAAAGAGTATATGAAACATATATATGTACAGTTTAATGAACCAATATAACCACTATATAAGTTAAAAAATAGAATATTACCAGCACCCCAGGAACCCTTGCTATATGACTTTTTAAAAAAGAGCTTACTTAGTACTATAATCTGTGATAATTATCCACTTAAATGTCAACCAGGGTCATGTGACCCATCTTTTTATGGGCAAAAGGAATGTTCCCTTAAGTCCATATTTAATTTCAATATGGAAATTGAGTACGTATCCACTTAAAATCTATTCATATTTCAGTATAGAGATGTGCCATCTCTAAGGCACTAATTTTTAATTTTAAACAAAAGATATATTAAGTGTATTAAAAACAGATAGAGCTTGAAGAAAATGTATACATCTTCATACATTTTTGTGAAAGCAAACCTAATAATAATAGCTTTAAGATAAAAAGCATTTGATTAAAGTAAAATAAAAGTCATTCAAAAGTTTAAGATCTCATTATGGGTTTCATTACAACAAATTAGGTAAAATGAGATTTGTTTCTGTGTAGCTTCTAGTATATTCTTAGCACTCAATAAATGTTAAATAGTAAAATATGAATTAGGCTAATCACAGCACATCTAAAATATATTTTATTAAATTTGAGCCTACTTAGAATTTTATATTATAGAAACCTGACATGTCACTGATTCATGACCTTTTGTAATATTAAAAATTAAACCTATGAAATCTAGATTCATATATCTTTTAAATATTTTAGCAATAAACTATGAGAGAACAAGAAATACGTGTAGTCAAAATTAAACTAAATATTTTAAAATAAACAATTTCATATTAAAACTGGGTTATTCTCTAGTGAAAAACCCTATAAATTTTTTTTGCAAATGCACTTAAGATAGTAAAGGTAAAGAAGGGAATGAAATATAATAAATAAAAGCAAGCTATATAAAGATAAACGAAATGTGGATAAAACTAAATGGACAACATGACTAAAAATAACATTTAGAAGTAGCTCTCTTAAACTGTATTGCAGCAGTACCTGAATTATATGCCTTTTAATTTATGCACATGATGGATAGCTTGTTAAGGGGTATATCTGTAACCATTATAATTGATAGTAGCTGAAGGCAGTCAGACCATAATTTCTATTTAATGGATGGGATAGTAAGGGAACAAAGTCTGCAGTAGCATTTTAAAATAAGCGCCTAGAAAGTTTACATTTATATCCAAAGTAGTACCTATATTCTAGCCTTCCTTATGTTGAATTCTTTAAGAAAAAAGAAAAAATCAGCTGCAGCAAGATCCATATACTATTAAATAAAAATTCTGATTTAACCAATAACTAGAAAAATATTACAATAAATGGAAAAGAATGTTCAACTAACCATTTGATGGTTCATTTTTGTGCTCTTGTTCTTTAGAGCTTGCAGGAGAAGCAAATGGGCTCATCTGACAAGTTCCAGTTGTTGGAGAATAAGTTGTAATACTTTTCTTCCTTGTGATTTTTGAAGAATCAAATGACTGAAAATAAATATTAATTTGAGACAAAAATACTTATGTTTGATTCTTTGAGAATGCCTTTTAAAACTTGTAAAATTCAAACCAGTATTATTTTCCTTGCTCTTTCTTTTCAGAATTTAAATACCATCAATTACCCACCTCCAAAATGAACACTATTCTTAAAGTCTTAGAGATATTTCAGGTCTCCACACTGATTAGGGCATCTCAATTTGATATTTGTGAAAATTTAATATTAAAGGTTTACTGCCTTCTGAGATGGTATTTCCAAACAGTTTAGAGATGGCTGACTCTTCCAGTTATATCCTGACTTTTGCTGTCTGCTGAACCTGAAGTATAATTATGGGGCTAGGCCAGGGAAACTCAGAAGTTTCTTATAGTAAAATCCACAAGGAAATTCTAGGAGGGCTAAGTGCTTTCTTACACCGTCACAAAGTTGCTCTGACATACTGACTTCTTGTCTTAAGAATAACCAAAATAATGTTTGAACATTATTTTTTTAACAATTACAACATAACTGAATATTAACATATTCAAATAATGTTATTTGAACATTAAAATTTAAGGCCCTTGAGAATTCGGCCTATCCTACAGGATATCCTCCTATCTTCTCTTCTGTGTTCCTACACACCTTGTGCATACCTCCTCCAATAAAATTAAAAATTATTTTAATAATTTTTCACATTTCTGTCTGCCCCATTAAAATCTGAATTCCTAAAAATAAATATTTCTTCATCTTTGTGCCCTAGAACTCAAATATGTGTAATGAATGAATGATGTAAAAGGAACAGTCCAGCAACCTTGGCCAAGCCACTATGAATTTCATTCACTTGTTCATTAGTTCATTCATCTAATATGAAATGACACCTGTAGTCCCAGTCACTTAGATTATACACATTTGGGCCTCAGCTCATTCTGTGATCCTAGGCTGGAGTGTCCTTTCTTATCTTTCCCAGATCAAATCTTCCTTTGGTTTAGGTCCCCATTTATGATCCACTTCCTCCAAACACCCATTATCACACAATTAATTGCTTGCTCTTCTGAATTCCTTTTAAACTGTTTTCTGTAATGCTTACTGATCACCCAGCACTTGCTAACTAATGTGTACAAAGAAAGAGAAAAAGCTATTCTGGCCTCATAAACAGCAGAGAAGAGGTCTTAACAGTAGTATGGGTGCTACAAAAATTGAGAGGAAAGGGAAAATCAAAGTGGGCTGCAGTAATTTTACAGAAGGATTCTTGTGAGGAGGAAGGGTGAGGCTTAGATAAGCAAAAATGAAAGGTATGAAAAACCTGAAATCTAGAGGTGCTACAGATGGCACAGGCTGGATTTGGGGGATAAAAAAAGGTCTGAAGGCTTATGATGTTATTACTTATATTGTAGAATTAAACTTTAGTTTGGTAGCTGACTTGAAATAGTTATATAATTCTCCATTGTCAATGATTCTTTATTTCTAAGACACCCTGGCAGAAATAGTGGCTGTGTCACCTTTTTCAGTATCTTCGTATTAGTTCCAGAATCTAAAGCATTAATTTTTTTTTTTACAGTTAAGGTTTTAAATGATAAATACTTTCTCATATTGGGGAAACAGAAGGCTTTCCATTCTTTATTTCATATATCCATAGTAGCCACAAATGTAACCAATATCTTTTTTAAAAATCAGACTATATCAAGTTATAACTCTAAGGCAATCTTTTTTGTAGGGTGAAAAGGTTTTAAGTCTCTTTATCGGGTGGTTATTATTACCTCTCCATCTTGAGTTTTCACCTGTTTATATGTATTCAGTCATAAACTATGACATTTATCCAATCCTACCCTACCTTTCCAAGAATTTATTGCCTAGAACTATTTCACTGTGTATGTACAAGAAATGAAATTCACTACACTAATGTACATTTATGTCAATCTGTTTTCCTATTTTATCAAAAATTATTTTTTCCAATTGCCAAATATCTAAACATTACAACTATAGATCACACATTTGTCCTTGAAAACCATTTTCTAGCTTTCATAAAATAAGTCTGTGTGTGTGTGTGTGTGTGTGTGTGTGTTTCCCCTCACCTTAAAATACTGAAACTTCTTAGAGTGGGGGGAGAGAAGGGGAAAGATACTGAGGCTTCTCTTCTGCTTTCTTTTTATGGCCATCTGTGTTGGAAAAACGTCAGTCTACAAATACTATACAAAGAGTGAAAAATGAAAATCTACCTTCCCTTACTATCCCACTAAATGTTCTTCAGTAAGTAACACATTTTTATATACCTGACTACTGATACGCAAAGGCATAATCTTACTTCTCTAAGATTTTTTTTCCCCCTCAAACTTTTATCAAGGTTCTCTAACTTTAAAACCCTGAAGATGCTTAAAAGTGATCCTAGAACCCATCTAACCTACACCAGGAAAAGTTAAGATTGGGATTTCAGGGAAGACTGAGCTACTAATTGAGAAATCTGGCCTTCTTTCCACTCAGCAATGAAAAGTGCTAGCTACCAGATCCTTTAGAAAACAGAGGAAGAAAAAGTGAGAAGACTAGATTTGGCTAGAGAAGGGAAGGAATTCAGGATGTGAATAAAATTAGGAAAAGAGAAATCAATAAGTCATAATTCTATAATAATTTATAACTGCTTATAATATTCAGTGATGCCTTAGAGATATTTAATGCCACTATTAAAAAAAGACTCTCTGATCAGCCCAAATACCACTGTACTTTTTGTAAAGCGGTCAAACCTTGTATATTAGCAAAACTAAAATTTGGGCATTGATTTTTCTGTCTAAAAAAAAATGAATGTTCACTTCATAATTTCAAATATAGGTGACATTCTCCTTCAATATTGTTCACAAATTGTAGCTTGCTTTGTCACTTTGTTTAAAGCATATTCTACCAAAAAGGTGTCTGTATTGCATTGATTTTTACCTATTATAAACAGTCTAGAAAGTACTAACTAAGGGTTCTTTCAGCATGAAATATGATGGAAAGGATCTGCTATCATTATTATGAAGTACTACCCTATGCTATCAGTGAAATATTTAAAACACAGGTACTATAGATATTTGCATAACCAGAAACAAAAGAAAAATTAGGGCAACTAAAGGGAGATAATTCTTTATAACCTTACACTGGTTAATTAGGTCATTGGAATGTCTTACCTAAGACATTATTATAGATTACTAGTACTATTATGAAACTTATGTTAAAATACTCCATATACTAGCTGTTTCAGGTACTTTTCACAATTTGGGCCTAGGATTCTCAGTACAGTCCTAGATATCAACTAACTTCTTATCAGCTACCATGATTATCATCCTTAATGGTTCTAATAATTGGGGTTTCACTGTTATTTGTAGTAACAGTTATGGAAGCAAAGCATTTTGCACTAATCTCAGTGATCTTACAAGGATAGCAGAGAAAGAATATAACCAATATATTAGCTCTGTGGTGATAGAAATTTTCTACTTCTTGATTGGGTGTTTGATACACAGGGGTATACCTTTGTTAAAAACTCATTGGATTGTATGTTCAAGATCTGTGGATTTTACAATATATAAATTTTACTTTAAAAAAAATTTAATAGGAAAAATAAAACATTGGCTAAAAAAGTTGATACATTGGTCTTTCTACTTATATTCATTATTGTTCCACAATTTAAAAATATTAAAATTTTATTTTTTAAAAAGATGTATTTATTTATTTGGGGGGGAAGGCAGAGAGAGAGAGAATCTTTTCTTTAAATTTTTTTTATTAACATATAATGTATTATTTGTTTCAGAGGTACAGGTCTGATTCATCAGTCTTACACAATTCATAGTGCTCACCATAGCACATACCCTCCCCAATGTCCATCACC